GGGGCGTGGGTGCACACACACACACACACACGCCTCTCTGCCTAGCACTCTGGAGCCTTCCACGTTGAATGTATGCAGCGACTGCGAGCGAGGGGCCACGCGCCGGCCCAATGCCCTGTAGCTGTGCAGCCGGCAGGACAGGGCCCCGCTCCAAGCATCCACCTTTCCATCCAGCCCATCCTGTGCAATAAACGTCAGCAACTGACAGAGCTACACACGACTCCGTCTCTGCTTCTCCTTCACAACCATCCCTCCCTGCCGTGGCTCCGGCTGTTCCCGCTCCCCTCGCCCAGACCTGGGAGCCCTGCCACCGGGCACAGCCCCAGGCTAGGCTGGAGGAGGTAGCTTTATCCTTTGAAGAGCTGCTTCCCTGCCAGAAAAATGACAAGGCAAAAAGCCTCCTCCCAGCACCTTTCCCCTTGCTGGCAGGGCTGTGCCCCCCTGTCCAGTGTCAGCTGGACACCACAGGGCTGCAGTGGGGAAGGAGTTGGGAGTAGGCTGTGAACTGAAGCCAAGCACTGAGCTCCAGCTGCAAGGTTTCCAAACATCAACTGCTGCAGGAGCTGGGACACAAACACGCAGCCCCACAGACTGTGGAAGAGCCACAGTCTGTGAGACAGGAGGCTCCTGGCTAGAAACACAAGGGCCAAGTGGAGGCAGCCAGCCCCTGCAAGAGCCCTGCTCCCACTGCAGCTGCGCCAGCCAGTCTGTGCTGTGGGAAAAGTTTTGTCTCTCTTTATGCTACAAAAGCATTTCCAGAATGTGACACTGCTGTGGATAACTGAAGCCCAACCAGTCAGCAGAACAGTGGCAGCCTGGGGAGACATCAGTCCCACCTCCCCAGCACAAGGAGGGGAGAGCCCAGGCACCCCGCAGACTTCAGGCAAAGATGCAGAGAAGGATACAGTTTCCATCTAGTATTTCAAAAAAACCTATTTTATTTACAGTACTGTACACCTCCACCCCTGTGTTAGTGGTTTTCCCTGCCTCAGACCCAGTAAGCAGAATTTAAACCGATCCCTGGAAATGAGAGCCAGGAGCCGCAGAGGCTGTGCTACAGCAAGAGCGGTGATAGTGCCCAGCAGCTGGAGCAGGGCATGGAGACTAGCACCCACCCTGCAGCCGAGAGCAGGGCAGAAGAGGGCAGGAGGCTCCTGCTGCGGCCACGGCCGGCTGCCTGCCCCTCCAGGCAGGGGCCTAACGCTCCAGGAGGTCTGAGCCCTGCTGGTGGAGAGGAATGGAGAGGGATGGTAGCCCAGGACAGATGCTAGCCAGGCAAGCTCTGGAGCTCGCAGTACAGGCAGGCACATTGGGCCAGGGTGAGGACTGAGAGGAGCCAGCCCCATCTACCATCACCCCTTTGACCCCACACCAGAGAGATGCAGCCCTCCCCAGGGCTCGATGCCCTCTCCCCTTGCCTGGGATGCAGGCAGTAACAGCAAACAGTGCAGACACCCTGTCCCCCACCAGCCCCTCGTGGCTGCTCCCGCGCTCCTCGAGGAGTCCCAGTTTGCCCCAGCATCTCGGCGTTGGGCAGGTAGGTTTTGCTGGGCTGGCAGCTGTACCCACTTTCCCCATGAGATGCAGGACAGAGGGGCCTCGCAGGCCAGTGCCTACCGCAGCCTCTGAGGCAGCCGGCAGTCCAGAGGTAGTCCGGGGCCCCGCTGGCTGCCGGGGCTCAGCTGAAGAAATAGGTGGAATCCATCACCTTCTTCAGGTTGAATTTGCCTGGCAGAAGCAAGGGAGAGGAGAGGTCAGAGTAGAGCAGAGATGGGGCAACTGGGAGAAAAGCTGCCTCGAGCCCCGCTTCAGCTTCCTGCAGAAAACTACTTCAGCTCAGCCCTGCTGCAGGGTAGGTCAAGACAGCAGGGATCTTAGAGGTCTTCCAGGAACTGATGTCCCTCCAAATTTATCTAGGACAGTGGTAGAAAAGCAAGACAGAAGAGTGTCAACAGCAGCAAGGCAGGGAAGGAAGAGAGGAGCACGTGCCCTCAGGGTATGAACCATCCCTGCCACTGGATCCCGCTGCCTCTGGGGCTGACCACGGTGGCTGCTCAACAGCACGGGTCAGCGCTCCGCCGGCCTGCTCCGTTTTGCAAAGACAGAACAAAGGTTAGCCAGATGATCTGGCAGAGGCAGGGCTGAGAGATTAGGAGGAGTTAAACTAATTGCTTTAATCCCATTGCATGTATATCATCTAGATCCTGGCGATTACCATGCTGAGTGCCTCCATCCCATCTCCAGGCAAATGCCTCGTGGTTGGAAACAGATGGGAGAGGAACAACAAGACAGGTCGGGATGAGCTAGGTCAACCTGGGGAAAATCCCAGGGGCTCAGCTCCAGGGAAGGCAGGGACCGCTCACAGGGATGCTACAGGGGAACATCTTAAGGCACTGCCCCATGGCTCTGCAGTCCAGCACAGGCAGGAAAACCCGACCTTAGGGGACAGCTTTAGCACGGCTGGCCAGACCCTCGCTATGTCCAGCTTCAGACACCACATGAGCACAGTGATTTTGGCAGCCCCTCCCCATCTCATTCCCCGTGTCTCCAAACTGCTCCTGAGCTTTGCAGTTCCTGTCCTGTGCTCCTACCTGTCTTGGGGACATTTGACAGCTGCTCCATCAGTTTCTTCTGCCAGAGGGCTCTAGTCTCTCTGCCGGGGCTGGATGAACCAGAAGGAAAGCAAATCAACATGGGAGCTCTGGGAGAAGGTGCACTCTCCTCTGCTCCCCAGGGCAGGCCCCCGACAACAGGATTCAGCTCTTCCAAAACACATTACACACCCTGCAGCAGGAGCTCAGCCCCTGCCACAGCAGCCCTAGGCAGGTGCCGAGGCGTCTACAGACCCTGCCCAGGATTGGGTCGGTCTGTGCCGTCTGTCTGGCTCTGCGGTGGTAACTGAGGGCCACACACTGGGCCGACCCAACGTGTGTCTTCACTGCTCCTTACTGCCTCATTCACAGGGGGGAACGCCAGGCACAGGCATTATGGCCCGCCCCAGGCCCACTGAGGGATTCAAGCACCAAACCCTACCTCAGTTCTGCAGCAAAAAGATGCTGACACCTTGTTTTTCACACCAAGGACTGATGCCCAAATTGCCTTAGACAAGAAGGAAGCACAACTTCCCTCCAGAGCAACCCCCAGGCAGATGACACAACCCGTGAACATCTGGGCACAACCACCCCCAGGAGAGGGAATCGGTGTGGGTAAGGAGAGTGGTGAGGGTTCGCCAACAGGCAAGGAATACCTGCAGTACTTCTCCAGCATGAACTCGGACAGATCCTGCAGGATCTTCTCGCTGTGCAGAGCCACAAATTGCTGCCGACAGATCTGATCCAGGGAGCAACGGTGAGTCGCAGGTTAACAGGTGTTTTCCCCTCCTTCCCCTCAGTGCTTCTCAGCCAAGACAGGTCAGAGGTGAGGGGCAGGGAAGGCAGCGGGCAAGAGTGGGAAGGGGGGGCTGCCGAACAAGGGTGAAGGGAATCAGCCTGGGGAGGTGGGAAGCAGAGGCTGACCCCCGTT